AAGAGCGGAGCCCCCAGACCCTCACCCCTGCCGGAGAAGACACCGTGAAGACTCCCAGCCCCACTGCTGAGGAAGCCGGGGAACCCGAGACCAAGGGGAACAGCTGACGGGGCTTGGTGGGGAAGGGGAGTGGGACTGGGAGCTCAGGGAGGCCTGGGAGGGGCTTGGCCGGCGGTGCTTTGCCTTTAAAAATTAAAAAGATCGCTGGTCTGGGGCAAGGGTGCAGTCTCTTCTCTGCCTCCGTGTCAGCTGTGGAACTGTGCAGAAGCTAGTGGGCGTGCCCAGGAGCTCCCTGGAAAACTGGAAGCCGTTCTGGCATGCCGTTGCGCCTGCGCGGAAACCAGCTGCTTGGCCCCAGCGTCTCCGCGCGCCCTCCCCTGGTAACGGGCCGCCCCCTCCCTCCTTAGAAACCGGCACTGCTGGCCTAGCGGCTGCCGAACACAAGCCAGGCGACTGGTCTGGCCTGCCTATCTGCAAGCCTTCCTCCTAGAAGTCTGCGATCCCTTTGAACTATGGGAGACCTACCACCCGACCCAGAGCCCCCTCCTCAGCCGACCTCCAGCCTTAGGAATTCCCAGGTCTCCGAGCGGCGGCGCAGTCGGGAACACTCTAGGCCCCAGCCCACAGTCCCTGAAGAGGTGCAGCAGATACCGCTTGACGCTCAGCTCCTGCGCGGCTGTCGGGAGCTGGTGTCGAGCCAGATCAACCGGGGCTGGTCACAAGGGGCCAGTCTGACCCCAAGTGAGAACTTTATTTTTCAGGCCGAGGAAGCCCAGCGTGGGGGCATTGAATATCCTTCCCTGAATACCGGCTTTCCCTCAGAGGTACAACCCCAAACTTACTCTAGTGAAGGCAGGCTCCAGGCCAGCCACAACGCCAGCCTAATCCTGCAGCAGCTACAGCAGGGTGAAGGCAACCTATTCCAGCAACTGGAGTCTGCCTACCAGGAACCCCGGGCTGACCTCTTGGGCCAGTACACCAGGTACCAGAGAGAAGACCTGCAGTTCAGCCAGGACACCCAGCATGGACCCTACCTACGGGATGACCCTGCGCTCCAGTTCTCACCCTCTGAGCTGGGCTTCATGCCCTTCAATATGGAGGTGACTGAGCCAGAACCTCGAGAGCTGGCCGTGCAGAACGCCAAGGCCTACCTGCTGCAGACCAGCATCAATTGCGACCTCAGCCTGTGAGAAGGGGGTCCCCCCAGAGTGGGTAGAGGGAGGGGCCCAGGCAGGGAGAAGCCCCAGGCAAGGCCCTGCCTCAGGCCTGGGGTCTCAGATGAGATTGCTCCTCATTGAGAACCAGCGACCACTCTGGGGGCCTCTAACTCAGCTTAGGAGTCGGGGAATAAATACTAACAATAGCTAGCATTTACTTACCAGACACTGTGCCAGTACGTCACACAGAAACATCTGGTTCTCATGGCTGAGATGAGTACATCTTTTGTTCCTATTTTACAGGAGAGGAAACAGACACAGAGGAATTAGGTCCCACATCCAAAATAACATAGCTAAGATGTGGCAGAGCCAGGATTTCAACACAAGTGATTTGTCTCCTGAGGCCCTTTTATCCACTAAAATTTCCTGCCTGAGGAAGGCACTTGCCAAGGCCACTTAGCTGCAGTCATAATACACCTCTCAGCCCCCTATCACATCCTCATGAAGCTGACACTCTAGTGGGAGAGCAGACAATAAATATAATAAGGTATGAGGTGATGATAAGAGCTAAGGTGAGCAATAAGGCAGAGTAAGGGGGATAGGGAGGGGATATTAAATAGTGTGAGGTCAGGGAAGGCCTCTCTGAGGAAGTGACACTTGATCAGGGACCTGAAGGAGGTAAGGGAGAGCATCTTGCAGGTAATTGAAGGGAGAGTCATCCAGATACAGAACACAGTGAGCTTCAAGGCTTTGAAGCTTGCCGTGTTTGAGGAACAGCAAGGAGGCTGGTGTGACTGGAACCAAGGGAGGAAGAGAGGAAGTGAGAGAAGTGTTTGAAGTAACAGGTCTTGCTAAAGCACAAAGCTGACTCCCATTCCTCCTATGCTCCGAGCCTGCTGTGGCTCACCAGTGCCCTCAGGAGAAGGTTCGGGCTCCTCATAACAGCCTTCAAGGCCCTGTATGATTCAGCCCCTTCTCCCTCTCCAAACTTCATCTTTAGTCAGCTCCTACCTCAGATCCTAGAATCTAGTCGAAATTAACCTCCTGCTCTTCCCCAATAGTACCCAGCCCTCAGGAGCTTCAAGGTCCCTTATTGTAAAGCCCTGGCCAAAGTCTCACTCCTCTTTACCCTTCCCAATTCAATGATGGCCCTCCACCATGCCCAGGACTGCTGCCAAAGGGTTTGCACACTGAAGAGGGCTAGACATACATGTTTTGAAATCAGGCCAACCTGGTTTTAAATCCTGGCTGTGTTACCACTGTGTGACCTCATGACCTCAACTTTTCTAAGTCTCAGTTTCCTCATCTGGAGAGTGGAGATCATAATTGTTCCTCAGATGTATGATTGTGGTGAGAATTCAACGTTGCCCTCAAGTGCCCAGCCAGTGCCTGACTCAGGTGATTGGAAGCCATGATGATACTGTTATCACTCCGGCCTCCTTTCCTGCCACAACCCCTCTTCCTCACTCTACTCCAGACCTCCTCAGTGTTCCTCCAACATGCCAGGCACACCCTCAGCTCAAGGCCTTTGCGCTCCATTCTCAACCATATCATCTGCAAACCATGACAGTTTTGCTTCTTCCTTTCTAATTCTTTTACCTTTTTCATGTCAGATTGCATTGGCTGGGACCTGCAGTGCAGTATTACATAGAAGTGGTGAAAGAAGGCATCTTCATTTCCAATCTCATAGGAGAAATATTCAGTCTTTTACCATTACGTTTGGTGTGTGCTGCAGGTTACTTGTGGCTCCCCTTTATAAGATTATAAAATATTACATTCTATTCCTAGTTTGCTAGGTTTTTAAAAATTATGAATGGGTGTTGAATGTTATCAGTTTCTCTGCACCTATTGAGGTGATCTTACATATCTCCTTTAACATGTTAATATGCTGAATTATATTTTTTTTCCTGTTTTTCTAATATCAGTTCAGTCTTGCATTCCTGTTATTAACCAAATTTAATCACGGTGTGTCATCCTTTTGAGAATGCTGGATGTCACTTGCTAATATTTTGCTTAGGATTTCAGCATCTATATTTCTAAATGAGAATGACATGGAATTTCCTTTCTCCTAGTTTCCTTGTGTTTTGGTATCAAGATTATGTTAAACTCATAAAATGTCTCAGGGCCTATGCATATGCTGTTCCCTCTGACTGAAATACTCTTCCTTCCAATATTCGCATGGTATGCCCCCTCCCTGGCCTCCCTATTTAAAATTGTAAACCATCTCCTATCCCTGGCATTCCCAGTCCCCATTCCCTGCTTTATTTGTCTCCGTATAAATTACCACCCCCAACACACTATATTTTGCACATTTGGTTAATATGTCTCCATCGCCAGACCATCAGCTCCACCAGGGCAGGGACCTTTTCTCTTCCCTGTGTCTCCAGAGCCAGGCACAGGGCCAGAAACACAGCAGCAAGCTCAGTAAGCTGAGTGAGCGATGTCCCCCACCTCCCATTCCCCTCTCCCGGAGGCAGGTATGAGCACCTGGTGAACCTGCTGACCAAGATCCTGAACCAGCGGCCCAAGGACCCCTTGTTCCTCCTGGAGTCGCTGCACCGCAACAC